ATCTAATCAAAAACACCTTAGGTGTGAAAAAAGTTGTAGCCAAAAAAGGATTCAGTGTGTGACTTAAATGAATGAAATAAAAATTGGTGGCCAAACTGGTAGCTACACTTATAGCACTGATAAGAATTTTACAGCAAATATTCATTCATTAGTTAGCTAAGCCACGTATTTTGTTTTACTTACCATCATGCCCCTAGGTCCTAGTGCAAATACTAGATAGATGAATGAATATGAAAGACTATATTTAAATTTTATTTTATCTTTTTGGATAAACAGGTGACTTCAGCAGAGTTCTGTTACCTTAGTTTCTTGTCATCATCCGCATGCAATCAGTGCAGTCGTATTAAGCATTATTATTTATGCTGATTGCTTAAGCTAATATCACATGATGCTAAATGCTCTTTAATTAGGAGAATTTCATAAGATTTAGCAATTTTGTGTTTAAAAGTTGGCAATGAATAATAATTGATAGCTGTCCACCCTTATGATTCTTTTGAAAACTTGAGGTAGAAACTGCTAATCTAGTTTTCTTGGCCTAACCAATACTTATGTATGTATCTTCACCTTATAGTTTTGCGACTCTGAATCATTTTGTTGCATAAAAAAAACTGCTGTGGAAAAGCAATACAATTCTTGCTGCTTTAATGGTAGTACAGTAATTGATGGGTGCATTCTTGTAGCATTCTGCAGTTTTGCACAAGATCTGTGCAGTTCACACAGTAGAGCTGCAAAAATAAGTGCTCTCTAATCATCAGAAGTTTCTATTGGTTCACTCATGAATGATCCAATTTTGTGTAAAAAAAACTAGTTGTAATATCATTATTTGTGTTTATTATGACTACATTTGGTGATTTAATTTATAATTAATCCTGTTCCAGATTTAACAATTTGAAATAGTAAAATAATTCATAATTAGTTAAATTACTTTTATCTCAAAATGTTACTGCTGCACTTCGTAAAAAAAATGTCAAATTACTCTCGCTGACAGAACTCTGGGAGTGATTACGCCTTACAGAAAACAATTATCTGGAGCACTAGGACCCTTCTAGTTATATGTTCTTATTTGGAAAAGCTTATCATTAATCTTACATTAAACATAAAGCTAATTTCCTTTCTACTTCGTAACTTTTCTCTAAGTTCTCTAAACATTAAACTCACTAATCCATCTCATAAGGGGCACTTTATCAAAGCTTTTCAGAAAGCCAAGACAAACGTCAATTGATTGTTCTTATCCAAGAAAATATGGCAAATCAAACAAAATCATTTTTTTAGAATCCTTTTGAGGACCGGTAATTAATTCAGTTCTAAAATAATCTTTAAAAAGACAAACCAATAAGCTTACACTTTCTTTGATTGTCTAGACTCTTTAAGGAGCATGCTAAGGGTTGAAGTTGGGCAAATGGTACTTAGGATGTATGTCAGATCCCCTATGAATACATAGAAATTAACTTAGGCTAGTGCTAATGTGGTTTGTGCTATATACCCGTGTCTAGTTTGTTACAGTGTATGTATGATATATAATGTGTTGAAAGATTTTCATCAGATGTGTATAAATAAAGTGTTGATAAGATTATTTAAATTCAATAAAATTACAAAGAATGTTTAATACAGACTTTATAATTATATATTCAGTGGCCATATGCCTAGCACGATTGTCAGGAAAAAAAAAAGTCTTGTTTTATTGATTTATTCTGATTTGTATCATTTCTTGATACTTCTCTCTCAACATTACATTAATGTTAAATGTTATACAGAGAATATGATTTAATACAGTTTTCCTCAGGAAAATATACATTTTGTTTGTTCAAAAAAGTTCTAAATATTTTTACTTTTGTTCAAACTGTTTCATAACCTAAAGGGCAGGGTGTGCTACTCTTTTTTTCGTGTTATAGAACCTAAGATTTTTTAAGGTAAAGAATGAATATTCATACACGTCACAGAAGTAAGAATAGAACATAAAGGTAATACGATGAAGTAACAATACGGGGAAAAAGCCATAAATTAAAAAACTTCTTAAGGTTTAAGAAATGTTGACCCAAGTACAAAAACCCATGAAAATGATCCTAAGGTTACATCTTTTATTATTATTGACGTAAGTCACAGTTAAGTGAGACTTTGTTTTACAACAATGTTTTAAGTTTTCGTAGAATATTATTTAACAACCTTGTTCCACAGTTAGTAAGGCCTGGTTCATTCTCATGTGATGTTACAATTTCAGATGAACAAGAGTAGCTTGGAAGCTGCTGCAGAGGCAGCTGCTAAAGTTAATGCAATGCTTATAGCAAAAGGGAAGCTGAAGTTACCTCCTATTCAAACTAAACCTCTGGTAAGAATTATGGTACATTTTATCATTTTTTTTTGTGTTCAGTTTCTGAAATTTAGTTGCTGTGTTTGAATGATTAAATTTATAATGTGATTTTAGTGAAACTCGTATTTTATGCACAATTAAACATTGTGTTTGTGTGTTTTATTGAGTACATGCGTAAGTCTGTCACTTATTAAGTTTTAACTTCTTATAATGTGATGTAACACTGTGGCTTGCTGTCAGGTAGGTGAGTTAAAATAGTTTTAAAAACAAAATTTTTAATGGCAGTAACATTAGGACAGGTTAAAATGACAGACCCCCCCATGCACCAGTTTCCTGCTACAGATCAGTATGTATCAAGTTGCATTTTGTCAATACTTTAACATGCCCCTCTTCAGCTTTCTCTCTCACTTTGAAAATTAGAATAATTTAAGGGTTGACACTTTTTATTTCCACGTTATATTTCTGAAATCCATATCTGAAAAACAGTAATTTGAGTAAACAGTGTTTTATGATAATGAATAATGTTTCACATACAGGTTTTAATGTTGTGTGATTAAAAAGTGATAGTGAATCAGATTTATGTGTAAATTAATTGAAAAACATGTTTTAACCAAAATATTAGGAAAGTTAACGGTAGTTTAAGGTTAAACATAGCCAGAGATAGAAAACCCTATAACCCGAGAGCTTTTGGAAGGTGAACCTTTATTCATCAGGGGCAAACTTCAGATTTCCAATTTGTCCTTGATGAAGATAGGTCCACCTTTCAAAAGAGCTTGAGATATAGGGTATTGTATTTTTGTCTTAAATTGATTTTTTTTAACGTACGTACTTTCCTAACATCGTGCATAAAGTAACATGACTGACTTATTCTGTAAAAGTATTACCAATATTAGCATCTCGTACAGTTAAGTACAGTTGTATGTCGGTTTTTTATGCTGTTATCTACTTAAGATATTATAAATTAATAGTTCAAAGTTCACATGTACTCAACTAGAGATGCTTTTTAACACAAAGATAATATATTTCTAATGTTAAAACTAATTAACACTGGTAAACTGGTGATGATTTTTTTTGTGTGACTGTCATGTGAGACTAGCTTATTACTAACTACTGTTAAGGAAGAATATTAAGCTCATGATATAATCCACATTTTCGCTAATAACACATGTGATATGCAATTCCTGTCTAGTCATTAATTACAGAGTTCTGCATACTGTTTGTCTACCCGTGTTTATTGAGCCAATGAAAGAGTTGTGAGAGATGAAATTATTCTCATTATTAGTATGTAATGTTGGAGTTCACATGTTGGACTGAGATTTTTCTGTTCAGGTTTATTACAAAATGGGAATTTCTGCCCACGTCGAAAAATGTACAAGTTCAAACCATGTGATCATTTAGGGTACTTTAAAATTTTCATTAGGTGGTTGTCAGAAAGAGAAATATTTTTATTGCTTATTTCTTTTCTTAACCATTTTGTTGTTTTATTCCACTTTTTTCTTTGTTTTAGTAATACTTGTATGCACACAATTTTGTAGATTTCTACAACTCCAACAGCAAGAGGACCTGGGGACCTCTTTACAGCTGAAGTTGAAATCAATGATGTTCCATTAAGTGTCAGAAACCTTCTGACCAGAGGACATAATCAGGATGAGGTATTTTTTGAGAAATAGATTTTTATATGTTGTGATGTTTTGTGAACTTATAGATTCTGTTAAGGGTGTGTTTATTGTTCTCTGCAAGGCTTACATGTGGTAGTGTTAGATTGTGAATGTATTGTGTATGTTAAGGGTGTGTTTATTGTTCTCTGCAAGGCTTACATGTGGTAGTGTTAGATTGTGTATGTTAAGGATGTGTTTATTGTTCTCTACAAGGCTTACATGTGGTAGTGTTAGATTGTGAATGTATTGTGTATGTTAAGGATGTGTTTATTGTTCTCTACAAGACTTACATGTGGTAGTGTTAGATTGTGAATGTATTGTGTGTGTTAAGGATGTGTTTATTGTTCTCTACAAGGCTTACATGTGGTAGTGTTAGATTGTGAATGTATTGTATATGTTAAGGATGGGTTTATTGTTCTCTGCAAGGCTTACATGTGGTAGTGTTAGATTGTGAATGTATTGTGTATGTTAAGGATGTGTTTATTGTTCTCTGCAAGGCTTACATGTGGTAGTGTTAGATTGTGTATGTTAAGGATGTGTTTATTGTTCTCTGCAAGGCTTACATGTGGTAGTGTTAGATTGTGTGTGTTAAGGATGTCTTTATTGTTCTCTGCAAGGCTTACATGTGGTAGTGTTAGATTGTGAATGTATTGTGTATGTTAAGGATGTCATTTTAGTGAGTATTTTTAACTTGATTTAAATAACTATCACATTAGATAAATTTGTGAAAAAATAAAGTAACAAAATGCATAAAATGACTGTCATCAATATTTTAAAAAGAAACTTAGAAATTTTGTAAAGATCAAACACTTGAATATTTATGGGTAAATATAAATCTTGTTCACAGTACTGTAAAGTTTGAATCCTATCACCCTTAACATACACAATACATTCACAATCTAACACTACCACATGTAAGCCTTGTAGAGAACAATAAACACGTCATCTTTACTGTTAACATAGTATTCTTCGTAATTTGTCCTATGCTTAATCTTCGTAACCTTGGAAAACGTTGTTAATTGGCAGATCTGTAAACATAGTGGCGCTGCCATATCGACCAGAGGGCGTTACATGACCCCAGATGAAAAATTAACTTCAGCTGGAGGAAGGTAAGTAATGAAGATTAATTAGTGGAGCATTAAAAACCTTGATTAAATCTTGACCTTTTATTCTTTAATATTTTCACTGGCTTTTATGATGATCTATGTACTTAGATACCATCTTTAATCTTTTCTCTTTTGTAATGATAATTTTTTGCTACTCTGTTTATTTGTTGGCTCTTGTAAAGCCAGTTATAATAAACTGTCTTAAATATTTGACCATTTTTATGTCAAGTTATTATAAAACACGGAATATTTTAATACTCGTAAAGGAAGTAGGTAGAGCCAGGCGATTAGCTTGATTAATCGATATAATGAGCATCAATAAGCATCACATTAAATTGGTTTCCATGAAAATAATAAACTAATCAAAATTATCACAAACATATGAAACCTTATAATCCGAGTGTTGTCAACTTTTTCTTCAGTAGCTGATGAGTCTGATGATTAATTAGTTATTAAATTTACGATTCACTCAGCATTTGTCATAGGTTGTCCATGAGATTATGTTGACACCTTTACATCAGCTGTGAAATACTGTGTTTCACTAGAAGCTTCACACCTTACTTTCACTAGAAGCTTCACACCTTACTTTCACTAGAAGCTTCACACCTTACTCTCACAAGAATCTTCGCACCCTTACTCTCACAAGAATCTTCACACCTTACTTTCACTAGAATCTTTACACCCTTACTTTCACTAGAATCGTTACACCCTTACTCTCACAAGAATCTTCACACCTTACTTTCACTAGAATCTTTACACCCTTACTTTCACTAGAATCTTTACACCCTTACTTTCAC